AACTCCAGTGTTTGTGAGCTCACAGCTGTTTGTACAGATCCAGGTAGAAGTGGAGCTGAACTCAGCAAGGTGACCGCTGCTGCTGCTGCTGCTGCTGCTGCTGCTCGGACCTATGGGGATTAACTCTGGACGCTGAGTATTTACAGTATTTTCCAGCTCAGTTATGTGTATTTTTACCTCTCTTCTGTGTGTGTGTGTGTGTCTGCAGATTACGCAGCGTGAAGATGGAGCAGAGGAAGCTGAGCGACCAGGCCAACACGCTGGTGGACCTGTCAAAGGTGAGATCATGCGTGTGCTCAGGTAACACGCTTCAGGGGGGGAAAAACGCTGCGGCCGGCATTCCTCCGTTTCCACGCTGACCTGCCCGTTTCCGTGGCTTCGCGTCTCCTAGCAACGGGAACAAGTGTTAAAACAGGGATGACTGAGCGAGGAGGAAGCGCGGGGAGGGAGGGCTCATGTTTTTCTGCCGCTGTGTGGGTGTTTGAGTGAGAATGTGAAGCGCACACGTGTGTCGGCGTGTGTGATTGTGTGTCTGTGTGATTGTGTGATTGCGTGAGAGACACACACACACACACGCACACACACACGGCCGCGGACACACTGCGAGTGAATAAGACACAAAGATGGAGCGAGGGTGTGTGTGTAGTTGTGTCGTTGCCTTTAGCACCAAATATTTTGCAATTATGCCATCCTCCATCTCAATTGGCCACTTGTGCGTTTACCATGGTTACGGAGACCAGGATGTGCGCGGCGGCAGGAACACTCTGCTGCTTTCCTTTCATTCTCCGTCCTATTCTCTCCTCGCGGCGCTACGATGCCCAGCCTCGCCGTCATTCCAACTTCTGCTCCCTCATGGACGTTTCTTTCTTTTTTTTTTTCCTTTCTGCTCGGCGTCTCCACTCTGATTTCACTCTCCGTATTCTGTTTCAAACGTTTCTTAAGTATGTTTTAACCCTCTGATCCCCCAGAACCCTCCAGCAGGATGAAGTGCACGTAGTCAGCAGAATGACAGCATGTGTCAGAACCAGAAACCCTAAAAGCAGAGAGGATCCAAGGATTTCCAGCTGTTATGATCTGTGACGTGACGTGGAAAATCTCAGCCTGAAATCATCATGTTTCATCAAAACCACTTTAATCTAAATGTCTCCTTTAAAAATGTGCAAGAAGAAACCGTTTGCATGAACGAGATTCTGTAGAAAACGAAATATTCTTCTTTCCTCGGTGCAACCGTGCAACCTCTAACCCTCTGAACCCCAAAATGTGCGACAGGTTTGAAATGCATGTCGTATTTTTAGGAAATCAGCAGAATTACAGCGTTTATCAGAGCCAGAAACTGTAAAAACAGAAATAATTGTAGGATTTCCAGCTTTTATGATCTGTGATGTGACCTATAATGGAAAAAACTGAACCAAATCTCAGCCTAAAATCATGATATTTCATCAAAATCACTTTATTCTAAATGTCTCCTTTAAAAATTTGCAAGAAATAAACCGTTTGCATGAATGAGAGTCTATAAAAACCTAAATATTCTGCTCTCCTCGGTGCTTCAACCCTCTGAACCCCAAAGTGTGCAACGGGTTTGAAGACAAACATTAAAAACTGCCAGAATTTCAGCATTTATCAGAAGGAGAAACTGTAAAAACAGAAAGAATCGACTTTCATGATCTGTGACAATAAAATCAAACCAAGTCTCAGCTTAAAATCAGGATATTTGATCTAAATCATTTTTTTCTACGTGTCTCGTTTTAAAAAATCTGCAAAAATAAACCTTTTGCACAAACCAGATTCTGGAAAAAGTGTAAATGGGATGTGGTTATCGTCGCCCCGGGGGGGGGGGGGTCTTTGCTGCTGCTAACGGGTAGCGGCGAATACGCTAGCGAATAGCAGCGTTAGCAGCGAAGACAACGGTAGTGAAACTCCATCGGCACTTGTTGTTAAATATTTTCCCGTTACATACCCTCGAAAACAATGTATCGGCCCAATTTCGCTTGTTCACATGCGGGGATTCCCACTGACAGCCAATCAGAATGAATGTAACAGAAAGTCGCCATATACCGGACCGCAGGGCTGAACTGGGTCAAAGCAGCAGACCGGTATAGCAGTTTATAGTGTCGAAAGGGTTAAACTCTCCGTACCACAAAAGGTGTGTTTTCTCATTTTATGAACTTCATCAGCTTTCTGACAGTCACAGAACTGATCATCTATCAACTGATCATCTGACTCTGTCATCTGGGACGTGGCGTGAAAATTAAAGCTAAACTTGAAATCATAATATTTAATCAATTTCAGTTTATTATCTTCAAAAATAAATAAATAAATCAACTATTTGCACAAAACTGATTCTGTAAAAAACTAAAAATTCTGCGTTTTTTGATGCAACTCTGAAGACGTGAGTCACTGAGCGGCGAGCAGCCGCCTCATGACAGAAGTTAAAGACTTCTCGGCTGAACTGCAGCTTGTGTTTTACACAGACAAGTACAGAAATAAATTAAAAATAAATAAAATATAAATAGTGGCAACACCTGTTTATTACCTTTTACTGTCACTAGTTTTATCAAATTTTAGAAATATATTTATTGCATTAAACTTGACTTTATTTACTTTATATTATTAATATTTCAAATAATTTATTTGTGAAATATGATAGATTTACGTGTTTTAATATTTTCAATCATTTTTTCCTATTTCCTGTTTATTCCAAATTACAGATTTTTAGTGTAATTTTACATTAAATAGTTAAATTCAGGTTACATGTTTGTATTGTGTACTTAAAAAATTTGCAGTACGTGTTGATTCCAGGGTTTTTTTTTCAATTTCTGTAAAACAAATAATCAAAGAAATTCCATTTTTGATGTCAGTTTTTTCTGATGCATTACAAGAAGTTCTTTCTCTTTCTAGACATTTAAATACAGTAAAAATGGAGTATTTATTTGGGCAAAAGGTTTGAAGAAAGAATTATCATTTGTTTAAAAAATATATATATATATATTAGAAATACAGATTTTTCGTTTGGGCATTATTAACAGTTTTGGATAGTTTGGGGGAAAATCTGTAAAATGGCAGCAAATAAAATAAAATAAAATACAGTTTAACAAGATGATATAAACATGCAAATAGTTAAATATTTAGCATGTGGAGCCTTAAGATCTGTGGACAGATGGAAACAGTTTGTTCTCTTTCCGTAGAGCTGCAGGACTTTATGTTGCAGAGAAAAATAAACCCACAGTGAGGAAAAAAGCAACAAATAAAATAAAATGTGGGGGATGAGAGGGTTAATGACGCGGCCTTCACAACGCTCCTGTTTACGCCTTTGCAATCTGTGCTGCTCCTTCCACCGACCCACTGAGTCACCTCCTGCTCTCCTCCTGCAGATGCAGAGCGTCATGTACGAGCTCATGTCGGAGCTCAACGATCGCAGCGAGGACCTGGAGCGCCAGATGTTGTCCCTGGAGCAGCGGGTGGAGCAGCTCACCGCCGGCTTCAACGCCCTGCCCGCCCACCTGTCAGCCACGCTGAGCGCCCAGCACGCCGCCCTGGTCCACCTGCTCCGGGAGAGGGACGCCCGGGACGGCCGGGGGGGCGGGGGCGCCGTGGTGCCGCTGTCCCCGTCCCTCACCACCGTGGCGCCGCCGGTTTCTCCGGTGCAGGTCGCCGTGGCCGCCGCCGTGGCCGTCGCCCCTCCTGCGCCGGCCCAGCTCGCCACCCTGGCCTTGGAGTCGCCGCTGTCGCCTCCTCCGCCCCTGAGCCCCGAGGGCAGCCTGGAGGCCAGCCCCACCCCCAACACCTGCACCTCCAGCTGCTGAGGAGCAGCTCAGACGAACACAGGAGTCAGAAAAAAAAACAACAAAAAAAAAAACCAAGAAGCAGGGAGAGAGAGGAGGAAGGGGGGGATGTGCTCGTCCTCTCAGACTAAAGGCAGGAGAAGAGAAATGTGTGGCGATCCTCTGCACCTCCACGAGGGAGGGACGAGGACTATGAGGAGGAATAATGGGATTAAGATGGAGGGCCGCGATGAGCGATGAGACATGGCAGGGACTTTGGGGCGCTTTCCTTGACGAGGGAAGGAGAAGAAAAATGGAGATAAAATGGAGACTCTAAAAGGTGTGAGGGGGAGGAAGGATGTCTAGAGGGTGAGAAATGGCGGCGAGGGGAAGGAGAGAGGAGGAGAAATAACGAAGAATAATTATACGAACTCCTAAATGGAATCCACTCCTATTACTGAAAAGGCCTTTTATTCTCTCTCTCTCTCTCTCTCCCCTCTCCCTCCTCCCCCCCTCTCCCAATCTCCCTTCATCAGGAATTAATGACCATGACTTTTTATCCTTATGATGTATTTTCTATCTGAATGCTAATTGTGTGTTAACGAGCATCCCTTTAACAGAAGGTTCGATCAATACGACCGTGAGGAGGAGAAAAAAAAAAAAAAAAACTAGTGGCAAACACCGCACATGTACACGCAGGTTACGGTGAACAGCAGCGGCGAGCACAGCGCTGCGCCACGTCAGCTCTGAATAACTGTGTTCGGTCTACGTCCAACCGTCCAGTGTTTGCTCTCATCAAGAAACTCAGTGCAACAAATTTAAAACTCCACCTGTGGTTTCCAATCAGTCTAACTGCATGAACTTGGTTCTAAAATGAGCAGAACTGTCCTAGTTCTGGACCCATGGACTGAGTCTATGTCTGCATCATGACTCCACGTGGAAAAGAGCTGAACAGAGGAGCTGAAAATATGATTGTGAGACTTTACAAAGATGGAAAATGATCCAGGAAGATCAGGAGGTCTAGAAGGAGCCGTAGTAGCACCGATCAGGGCTGCAGTCCTCCTAAGGCCGCCTACAAGCTGTGCGATTTTAACAATCTTCTACAATTTCATTTAGCAGACGCTTTTATCCAAAGTGACATACATCTGAGAGCAGGTACAACACAAGCAAGGATCTAGTCAGGTCTTAGAAGTTCACAGCTAGCTACGCTGTACAACATGAACCTAACAAACGTTGGCCATGACAAGAAGTTTGTAGATTGCACGATGAAAATGTGAGCTGAATCGCAGCCTATAATGTACATGAGTCGACATGAATGTGTCATAATCGTGCACCGTCCATCCACGAAACAAAAAACTAGCAAAGCGTGAACAGAGCCGTCGGCCTCGGGGCGTTTACGTATTTGGAGAGAAATCCTAAAAAAGTAGAAGGAGGAGAGTATAGACGAGGTCGTGGCTCAGAAAGAGAGGCCGACTTAGGATGCCAGTTTTATCAGTGTTGCGTCATTTCATCCTGCGTTTCTATTGGTCAGTTAGTTGACGTCGGTCGCAGCAGCAGTCACACTGTGAGATGATCTCCACAAACTTCTGACAGTCAGAGTTTTATCACAGGTTGTCTTTGATCATGAAAACGTCCGTCCTCGAAGCCGCCTCTCAGCGCGACGTAGGACCAAAGACAAGACCAAAGACATCACCACGACTCTCTCATGATCGCACAGTGTGTAGCGGCCTTAAGATGACAATCCAGCTGTGAACAACAGACAAAGGCAGCTGCTTCAGACTTGGTACAGGGGTTATCAATGGAAACCAGAGTTAGTGTGAAGCTCAAACACTTCAGAACATCAACCTCTGTGGATGGAGGACAAGAACAAACGGCAGGATTCAATGTTGTTAAAGGACATGAAAAGAATCCTGATGACTATTGGTAGAACATTCTCTGGTCAGATGAAGATAGGTTTGTCGGGACCACCAGCATGTTTGGTGTGAACCTGACCAGAACCACCACAGTGGATGCATCGTCCTGACAGTGAAGCACGGAGGCGGCAGTATCATGATAAAAGGTGTTGATGACATTTATAGATGAATGTCTGAGGATAAACCACAACACTGGCTGATAAGATGAAGCTGGAAGAAGAGGAATATTCCAGCAGGAGAATCGTCCAAAGCACAAAAAGATTTTCTAAATAGGAACCTGGCCTGACTTCAATCCCTTAGAACACCTTTTGGGGTGTTTCAAAGAGAAATCTAGAACAACACAACCCGGTCCAACAAAGAGCAGCTGAAAAAATAAAGGTGGAGGTACTCCTGTTGCATCGAGTTCCTGCTGTGGGGGTTTAATGTGGTTGATGGTAGCGGTTAGCTTTTAGATTTAAGATGAGAGCAAACACTGGACTGTTCAACCTAAAGAGACGTAACCTGGAACAGTTTGGTTGCTACGCGGCGTCGCTCAGGCGTTGCACTCGCTCTCTGCTGGATACCGTACATCAACATCCACGCAATACAACAGCACAAACACGAACACGCCCTACTGACACTCACGTGAACAGACCTAATGCACTAGCCCACCAGATCCTACTGAAGCCTATACTGCCAAGCACTCGATGCACTGTCGATCTGCGTAGAGCACTGCCAAGCAATGTAGACACACTGTACAGAACCGTCCGTCTAGACAACCTGTCGTCCGTGGCTGTGAGCCGATGCAGTAGTTTAGACTTACAGTGCGTAGTTGTGACATTTTAGCCGCTCAAGTCGGGAGGATCGGCGAGTTCACAGGCGGAGACGGTGGCAGGAGGTGAAGCGACCCAAACGCAACTACAGCAGGACTTTATTACTGCATTTAAGTACAGATGTGGACTTTGAGTGTTTGGGTTTGCTGTACCGAAATGAGATTTTTCTTCCATTTCCGTCAACGTTTCATAGCAGTGCGGGAATATTTGAACGATTATAACACAAACATTCGCCCAACTGCTATTTAAACAGATTATTTTAACTGTAAATGTTAAAAAGCTCCACATCCGATAATCTAAAGCTTCTCCAACGATTATAAATAATCTGCTTCTTCTTTTATTTACCTGGAATCAGTCTGAGCTAATGAATCGATTGGCTGGGAACTATTAAACTATCTATTTTAATAATTAATCAGTTAAAGCAATTTATAGGGATAAAATCATGTAAATGTTTAGATTGCGGCTTCTTGAACGTTTTCTTTCCTCCTCTGTGACACTAAACTGAACATCTTTGCCTTTTTAGACTTGTTCTTACATTTGATCGATTAATCATCTGCAGTTAAAAGCATCGTAAATCCCTCAAATGAGCCCATTTTTGCAGTAAATCCAACTTTCACCAACGTTAGAACGTCCATTTTGTGACAAACAGTGATTGATTACTTCTCTGTAATCAACAACTTTTTTGCTAATCGATTAATTGGTTTAAAAAATAAATAAATTACAGTTAAAATTCTCTGATTGCAGCTCCTTAAATGTGAATATTTCCAGAATTATTTCCTCTTTTATCACAGTAAGCTGTAAATCTTTGTCGTCTTGGACTTTTGGAAATGTTTTTCACCATTTTTGGACGTTTTACGAACCAAAAAAAACAAAAAACAAACTGATCAATTAACTGGTTAAAAAAAAATTTCAATTATAGTTCAAATTATCTGTTTTCTGCTCCTTAAATATGACTATTTTCAGATTTATTTCCTCCTCTGTGACACTAAACCAAATGTCTTTGTTTTCTTGGACTTTAGGAAACTTTTTTGGACTTTTTTCATGCATTTGATCGATTATTCTAGAAGATCTTCTACAATTAAAAGTATCGTGAATTGCTTAAATGAGCCCAGTTTTACAGTAAATCCAATCTTCAACAAAGTTACAACAGTAATCGATTACTTCTCCGTAATCAACAATAATTCGCTAAACGATTAATTGGTTAAAAAAAATAATAAATAACGTTCAGATTCTCTGATTGCTGCTCCTTAAATGTGAATATTTTCAGATTTATTTCCTCCTTTATGACGGTAAAATGTAAATCTTTGGACTTTTGAAAAAGTTTTTCACCAGTTTTGGACATTTTACGAACCAAAAACACAAATCGATCAATCAAGGACGTAATCTACGGATTAATTACAGATGTTTTTCCACATTTATCATTAATTAACTCGTTCACTAATTGTTGTTCATTATCTGGTCAACATGAAGCAAAACTTGCAGTAAATTCAAACTCATCAAGGTTGTAAAGTTTAGTTTATCGTAGAGCTGCAACGATTCCAAACTGTTAAATTCATCGCCAACTATTTTGCTAATCGCTTAATCGGTTTAAGTATTTTTTACAAGAAAAAAAAGTAGATTCTCAGATTGAAGCTTCTTAAATGTGAATATTTTCTTCTTTCTTTCCTCCTCTAAACACTAATTGTCATTTTTCACGATTACAAACCAAACAACTGATCAGTTAATCAGGAAAAGAACGTACAGATCAATCAGCAACGAAGATAATCAATGATTTGTTGAGCTTTTCTCACAAAACTACACAAACACAAGAGTTTTATTAACCTTTTACTAACCTTAGGATGCTTTAAACTGATTTTCTACATCTTAGAAAGTCCAACTATTTTTACTAACGATTAATCAGGTTGAGTATTTTTGTTTTAAGTATTTAAAAAAAGTCAAAATTCTGCAATTGCAGCTTCTTCAGGGTGGATATTTCCTGGTTTCTTTCCTCCACTGACAGTAAGTTTGTCATCTTGGAAACACTGACTGGCATTTTATCGTCAAAACAACTAAGAACAAAATTCATCCAGAAAATTATCGACAATAAAACTGATCATTAGGTGCAGACTGAGGTGTAGAGCTGCAGCCATTAATGAATCAGTTGCTAACTATTAAATTAAGCCCCAGCTATTCTAATAACCAGTTATTGTTGTATTAGGGGGGAAACTGTCTAAATTTCAAACTGCAGCTTCTAAAATGTGAATATTTTCCATTTTCTTTCCTCCTCTACGACTGTAAAGTGAAGATCTTTGACACAACATTCATCATCTTAGAAACA